GACTTACTTACTTAGTAATAATTTTTTCAAATTCCTTAAATTAAACTTTAAGGTTTGAATTTTGAATTTAGTATTTAAAAAATGTTCGATTTTTTATTAATTAATCAAGTAAATAATTTTAAATAAAAAGAAATAATTAAATTGGAAACTAAGGTTTATTAGATTTAGGTCTATCATTAGGTTTGTGCAATAAACTATAGAATTTAAAACTCAATATTTCGTAAAAATACTTAGTTTAACAATCTAAATATGATTTTATTTTCTTTCTAATAAAAATATGTTTTATCGGTTATTTTTATATAATTTTTGATTTATTTATATCATATTTTACTAATAAAAACTTCTTTAATATTTTTATTTTTCAACAAACATATCGAATTAAATAAATTAAAAGATTGAACAATATTGATGCATAAGGCTTTTTACAATTTAGCTCTGGATTAGCAAAATGTTCAAATCTCTCATATTTGAAAATCGACCTTGGGTAGCATTTTTGAATTTTCAATTAAGCGATAATTAATATAAGCAAAAATCAATTAAAATTTAGTTTTAAGCATATTCATAAAATTAGTTAATTGGTTTCTAACTTAAAATTATGTTTTTATTCAAGTTATACTTATTCTTAAAATTAATCATTTAGTTAATTTTGTTTTTAATTTTCTCTTTAGATATAATAAAATTGGCGATTAGGGAGTATTAGCTTTAGGTTCTTGTTTAATAAGTTGCAAACATCTTACCAAGTTAACTCTCTACCTTAAGTAATAAATTTGTTTTAATTTTTACTTACTTATTTATTTTTCTTTTATTTTTTAAAATATTCTACAAAATTTTAACAATCTGTTATTATTAAATAATAATTTATCATTTTCTTGATTAATTAGAGTAGATTGTTTTGATTTAATTTAGATAATTTATAAGTTTTTTAGGGATTAATAAATAGTTAATTAATTATTTTGAATTATTCATTCAAATTTTTTGTTTCCTTTGAAACTTTTCTCTAATCATTTACCTTTATTCATAATTAAATGAAATATTAATAAATTTTAAAGAAAAAAATTTCTTAAAAAAATCCATCAATTTTTGAAAAATTAACTAAATATGATCTTCAAAATGAAATTTAATTGGTTACAATAAATAGTTATCTAAATTTATTTTAATTTAATATGAATTACTATAGATTTCCATCCTTAAAGAGCCATTTTATTCTCTATATTTATTTAAATTTCAATATAAAATATTTATTTTATTATATTTTTTACTGTTTTGAATTAACTTATATTAATCACACACGATTTTGAAAAGTATTAGATTGGTGATCTGGGAGTAAAAGAATTAGGTTAAACTTTAACATTGTGCTCTTGTCTTTCAAATATAAAATTTCTCCTTTTGTATAAATATTTTTATAATGCAATTTATACATAAAGATAACAAAAACTGATTTAAAAATATTTTAATTTTGTTCGTTCAATATTATTTATTGATCTGTTAATTTTTATTATTTATGCGATTCTTTTCTTTCTTCTTTTGAGAAAAATTAAAACTCTTTTTTTGTAAAATAATTTAATAGCTCTAATAAAATTACCTCATATGGTGCATCTAGCTTAGGCTTTTCCCTTGCTAAATGCTCTAAACTATAAAATTTATGTCTCAATCTTTCGTAAAAAATATTTATTTAATTTTCTTAAAGTAAAATTAGAAAACAATAAATAATATTTATTTCACTAGCCTACAAATTTAACAAATATTTATTGTATTTTAATGATCAATCTTTAAGAAATAAATAATAAACTTTTATATAAAAAATAATTTAAAGTTCTAATGAAATTGGTGATGAACTTGCATTATAATTCGGGTTTACTTTAGTAAAATGCATAAGCCTTTTAACTTTATAGCTTGACTTTAAGTATACAAATAATTTTATAAGTTTATTTATTAGTTATAAGAAAAATATGAAAACAAGAAAGAATACAAACTATCTATCAATCTTATTTATTTTATCTTTTTTTTATTATCTTTGAATATTTCTTTAATGCTTTACTTTAAAAATGTTAATTCATAAATAATTAATAAATTTAATTTATAAAATTACTTGTTATCATTTTTGGATTAAAAAGTTTTTTTTTATTAAAAGGTGGAATAAAATGAATTAACAATCAAAAACTAAATTATTTAATACAAATTTTAAATTGAAAAAATTGGTAGTTAAAAGAGTAGATTTATGAAAAAAATAAGAATTATAAATAAAATATATATAATACAGTCAATCACTTTTAGATAGTTTTTATTTTATTTTTTTATATTTGTATCATAATCCAGCATAAAATATTTTTCATTTAACTAAATATATATTTCCAACTCGCTAACTAAAGAATTAAAGTAGAATAACTAACTATATAACAAATATTTTCTCATAAGATATTTTTATTGAAAAAGGAAATTTAAAACAAAGATTTAAAAATTTACAAAATAAAATTTAATAAAAGAAATATAAAAGATTTATACAAAGATAGATGGATCTGTAGGTAGTGGAGTGTAATTATTTAATGACTCAAATTTATTTGAAATAAAAAATTAATCTTTAATTAATTTTGTTGAATGAATAATTTGTTATTAACTCATTTTCTTACTTTAATTTTATTTTCTAAATATTTAAGTGACTTAAAGATTATTTATTTATTTATTTATTTATTATTAATTATTATTAGAATGATTCTGATAAATTCAAAATGTACTATAAATTTGAAATTAAGAATATTTTGAAATGGTATTGTATTATATTTATTTATTTTATTTTTGTTAGTTATTCATTTTATTTAGTTAGTTAGGTTGAAGATTATTAAAAATATTAGTTGATTAAAAAGGAAAAACTAGCTTGTTTTTTTAATATATTTATTGATTTATTGATTTATTTTCTGATAGTTATTATTTATTTTTCTGATCTTGCAAATTGTTATGCATTGATTATATGCAAGCGTATTAGATTGGTAAAAAGACTGTTAAGTCTGATAATTATTACATTTTCTTTAGTATTTTCATTAAAGGAATTGGTTAAATAATATATAAGATTTTAACTTCTTGACGCACTCATTTTTAGTATAATTTCATTTAATTTAGTAATTTTTAGTTCAATAGTAGTTGCTGTCATATATTTTATCTTTTAATCTTTGGACGTACCAATCAGCAAGTCTTATTGTGTCTTAGAATCTTTATTCTTGATTGACACTGCCTAGCACGATAATAATTATGTTGCATTCTTCTTTAGAATAATCATCTATTGTTTGTGTGTACCAGCTACTCAAGCAAGCACCTGCAGCAACAGTAATGCCTGTTTTTACTCCCTTGAATCCTCTATCCAATAATTTATTTGTATTTTCCCAGAGAATCGACCTTTCAATAACTTTATTATCGAATTAGACATATTTTACAACGGCTCTGTAGGTTTTAGTTGCAACAATTTTTCTGAATTCTTCGTTTTTCAAACAAAAATATGTGAGTCTTGCTAAGTCATTACAAGTACTGTAATTATGTTTATTAACTAGTCCATGAGGATTGTTGAATTTGGTGCTTTTTAAATTAAATTCTTCACAAATGCTATTCATTTCCTTTAAAAATAGCTTCATATAATCGCGCACGTAAATGTCTTCAGTAACATCAACACTATGTATTTCCTAAAAGACTTTATTTTACCCAATGCTATCAAAATAAAGCAAGCAACCAAAATTTTCTGCTAAAACCACAGCAGAATCGTTACCGCTTGGCAACATGAGTCCATAAAATAAATCCTTGACTAGCACCCATTCATTTTCTTCAAGTCTTGAAGTTGTTCCTAAATATTAATAAGATATAAATAAAATTTAATTAAATGATGATTCTACTATTAACTCGTAAATTTATTAATTTATTAGCTGATTTTCTTGGCTCTAAAAATTAATGAATGATAAAATATAGTCAAACAAAACCAATTAATTAATTAATTATTTTTTAATTTTTTTCATTCATAAATTTGAATGGATCGATCATATGTATAATTTTCCTATCAAAATTATCACTCAATTGAATATTAAATATATGAATCAAATAATGAAATGAATTAATTAAGTAAGTAAGTAAATAAATAAATTAGTAATTTAGCTTTCTTTAACTCCTTGCTATTTAATTTAAAACTGAAGCAATTAAAAACAAGATACATGCATGTTATTTACTTCAAACCATTTTTTTTTAACTTCTCTAAAAAATCCCAATAATTAATGATATTACTCTGTAAAATTTACTTGAATATTAATCAAGTCAATTATTCTTAAGTAGATTTATACAATCTTTTTAAAAAAATTTAGCTATTGATCAGCAATCAGTGTTATTTAAAAACCTACTGTGTGCATATTTTGTGTTATTTTTAGATTTAAATAGAAAGAGCTTTTAAAAAAATAAATTATATCTAAAATGGCTATTTTTAAATAAGAATTGTAAACTATTAACTATTTTCAATGAGTTTTTGTTTGATTGAAGCTGTTTTAGCCATTAAAAGAAACAGCTTTAATTTAATTTGCCCAAAAATAGAGAAGCAGCTTTTTGTTATAATCTATAATTACCTCTTGTGTTGGCAGCATTTTCTGAAACACTAAAATAGAGCTGAGTGGGATCAAGTTTAAATCTTTCAACTAATCTCAGCGAAACTAAAAGAGTTGCCATTTTAGTGAGAGAAGCCATTTCTCTGATTTCATTTGAATGATGACCTCTTTAATACTGGCCTGTTTTAGCGTCATAAATGCACCAGGCTTTTGCTGTAATATAAGGAGTATCTTCGATCACAGATGATTAACCTGTTGTCGAAGAATATGCATTGCTAACATTATCTTTGGCATAATTTGCACTATTCAAAGCACTTCTACCTGCTTATTTCAACTAATTTGATTAATGGTGCTTTTGCTTAATTATTCTGCTATTGCTGCAGCTACCATAATCGTTTTTCTCTCCAAACATTTCTTTATATTTACTTACTTGCTTATGTATATTTCTTACTAAATATTTAATAAAATTTGTATTGAATTAATTTGTGTTTTCTTTTTTGTTATCCCCTTTCTTATAGGTTGGTTATTTTAGTTTGATAATTATTTTGAATTACAAATTATTGAATTTTGTATTCTTTTATATACACTCCATTATCTAAATAAAGAATAGCGCCAGCAGCCATATGTTAACCTTTCATAAAGTGGTAATTAACTGAGAAAAGTATCAAATTAAAACTCAATCAATAGCATTCAAATTATCCATATATTTTCTTTAATTTACTCATTCAAATATTAAGTAAGTATATTTATTAGATCTTCATTGTATTTCATAAATACTTCAATAAATAATTAGTAGCCATTAAAAATATTATCAAAAAAATGTCTTAAATTGTCGTTCGTTTCATTATTTAGATTTAATTAAAGCAAAATAATTATTTCTAAATTCAATTTAAAAAAATTTCTCTTGAATTAGATAAACAATTTTATAAGCAAAAAAAGGATTTATTAATTAAAAAAATCTAAATAAAAAATAGTAGTTTTCTAAAAAATAAATATGAATAAAATATTGCTATTTTATCTTTATCACTTTTATAAAATTTATTTTTGAATCTTTAATTAAAATAAATAAATTTTATTTCTATCAAAAACCAACACAATTTAAATCTAATTTATTAAAAAAAAATTATTTTTAAATAAAATTTATGAAAAATATTTATTTAGTGAAGTAAAATTGAATATTATAAAACAAAATTGGGTTTTTTGTAAATTTATTTTACAATATTTAATTGATATTTCAATAGATTAAAATAATAATTTCTACTATTTTATAAGAAAATTTATTCTAAAAAATAACAATCTATGATTGAATTAGTAAAAGAAATTTTTAAATAATTTTTTATTTAATAAAATAAATTTCTAAAAGAGTAGCACTAGAAAATATCTACATTAAAATAGTAACTGGAGTATACTAATAGAACCCTTATAACATCAACTTAGGAGAACAAGGTTTAGCATACAACAAATATTGTTCAAGACATGTAGAATTTGAAGAAGGAAAACCGGGAGCAGGAGGATTCGCATTTTTAGGGAAAGCCATCAAATTCCGAATAAAAGCATTAAAAAATGAAGCAAAATTGCTTAAGCATTATCATAATCTTGAAATAAATAAATATATTTGCATATTTGTAACGAAAAAATACAATACAATATATTTCTAAAATTAAATTTAAACAAAATATTTTATTTTAAAATCAAACAATTTTAAATCTAATTTTTTTATTATTCTTTTTTATAAAACGATTAATTTATTTTTTACTTTTTATTTAATTTTTTATTTACAAACTTCTTTCTAAAAATACAAAATTATTTTTTAAGTTTAAATGTTTCAACTTTTAAATTAAATATTTGTTTATTATTTGTTGTAAATTAATTGCACAGGTTTAATCAATTTTTTGATAATAATTTTTTAAAAACAAATCTATTTTTTATTAAAATTAAAGTATAAATTTCTCTTATAAAAATTAAACAATAATTTGTAATTATTTTTATAATAATTAAATTAAATTTTTCCTTTTAAATTTATTTTAAAAATTTATTCAAAGAATATTTACTTCTTAATTGTTTGACTTGTTTTATTATTTGAAAATAGTTTTAATTTATTTTAAAATAAAATAAAAATTTTTTTGCAAAAGAAGTTAATTTTGATAAAGAATTGTAATAATTAATTATTTAAATCAAAATAAAATAATATTTTTAAAGAATAAACATTTGATTCTATTTTGAAATAAAAAATCAATTTATTATTATTATTATTATGGATAATAAATACCTATATAGCAGTAATTTAAATGAAAAATAGTAAATAATTTCAGGCAGATCTATTAATTTAATAAGGCATTTAAATTATTATTAACTTAATAATTGTCAATTGAAGATTAAACTTTTTTCATTTAATTTCACATATTTATTCTTTTTTTGATTAATAGAGCTTTTAAATAAATATTGTGAATAAAACAGTATAAATGAATAAATTATTATAAAAATTTAATTAAATATTATTTATAATATATTTTTTTTTGATCTTTAATGAAGATTTTTTATGGAAAATTCTACATTATTAAGAAGTCATCAAATTAGTGGAGTTAGTTATGGGGAATCTCTGGATTTTTAATTTAACAAATAGGATTTATTTTTATTAATTAATGCGCAAGGAATTACTTAAATAGTTGATATTTGCTTGAATTAATTAATACTTGAACATAATTGATAAAGCTAATCTTTAAACAATATTATTTAAAAATATATATATAAAAACCATTTAACAACCAAAAGTACTTGATGCCATAATTCAACCAATCGCTAAATACTTAATTTTGAAAAAATGTTAAAAAATGCATCGAAAAGCTCCATGAAATATTACTGTCGATACTTTATATAATGCTGTTAAATAAATTAATTAATAATAACTAAATTTATTAATTTATCAAAGTAGATGTTTAAATTCAAATAGAACAAAAAAATTAGCTATTAACTCTTAAAAAAATGTAGTATTTAACTTCATGCAAACACTGAGTAAATTAAAATTTTTTGATGTTTAAATTAGATTAAATGACTCAAGTAATAATTGATAGCGTACCTATGCAATTAGATTTATCAATTAATACAAGAATAATCAGTATCAACGTATTCAATTGAATAATGTTATATATTTTGAATTTATTACTAATTTTTAGAATAGTCAGTTCTATAGTTTATATCAAATATTATTATATTGCCAATTATTTGAAGGGTTGATTACTAACTAATGCTTAATATTGTTTGATTTTTTTTCAGTAAGTTTTACGCAATAATTCAGAAATTATATTAAATACTTTCTATTTTTCTTACTAGGAAATAGCCATATTAGTTCATGCTTTTATCCACAAAACAAATGAAAAACAGAAGAAACTTTATTTATTTAATAAATAATATTTTTACTTCAATGCATATTTTTTGTAGAGGTTGAGAGACAATTATATAATTAATAGCAAGACAGTAATTAAGTAAGTAAAATAAATTTCATAGTATGGTTATATTAATCAAAACTTTAATTTCATTTGCAATAATATGCAAAAAAACCAATAAATATTAGAATAATATCATTAATTGCTATATTTCGTCAGAATTAATAATAAAAACTCTATACAGCGAATCATTTCAAATTGTTAACACCTACTCTTAGCTTTAAATAAATAAATTGTAATTGATTATTAATCATAACAATTTATCAATCAATAATTTTGCTAATTTAATTAATATCTTTAAAAAATTTAATCTTTATAAAATAGCTTCTATCTACACAATGCAACTCACTATGAAATAAAAGGGTTATATAACCCTCATAGGTGGATTCATCTTAGAGTTAGTTACTGGAACTTCATTCTTATGGGGATAGTTCAACGTTTATATTACTTCTTATTTTAGGTAAAAAGATGACTAAGATTTACATTTAAGTATTGGAGGTGCTATATTCCCTCTTATGATGGGTACTTTTGCAGCAGGAATCCCCATAGGAATCAAATTTATCAAATTATTTGGTTCTGCAAGATTATGCTGTGTTTTCTTTTCCTTCCTAGCATCTGTAGCTGTTTTTATTTCTAGCTACTCACAAAAGTTTTGGTAGTTTGTCTTTATCTATGGCGTTATTCATGGTTTCATCTAAGGTATTGTATTCTTTATTCCAGTCTATATGGGCTATCTGTACTTCCCTACACAAAAAGGCATGGTGTCTGGAGTAGTAACTTGTGGTTTCGGCCTTACTGCTTTTCTTTTTGGATTAGTTTTTTTCAGTATTGTTAATCCTGATGGACTTGTTCCTGTTTAAGATGATGATGGTTATTCATATTTCTAAGGACCTTCTATTGAAGTTGCTTAAAATGTACCTGAATCTCTAAGGAAATTGAGTTATATATATATTTGCATATCATTCTGCTCTTCTATGCTCATAATGTATCATCCTAACTAAATTGGAGAAGAAGAAAAGAGACTTAAACAAGAACTGAAGAATAAAGAAGAATAAAAGAAAATATTATAATAGAATGTTAGTAGACTTTAATAAAAGGACGAATTATCTACTCCTTTGGCTGAGCAAATCCACACAGACAAATTAGACAATAAAGATTTAGAATAATCATCCAACAGTTTGAGAAAAAGCATTCAATTACTTCATAAAACAATAGGAATTGTTGAATTAGAATAGAAAGTTATTAAAAAATAAATCGAGCTAACCTAAAATCAAGAAAAATAATAAAGCTATCAAATAATATTGCCTCATCAAAAGAGTTACTATGACAATGAATTTTAAAAGGACGATTAATTATTTGATAATTAACTCTTCCCGAATAATAATAACAACACAAATAACCATAACAACACTAATAACAATAACAACACTAATAACAATTAAATAAAATCATACAATAAAAATGAATAAACTGACTCACTGTTGAACTTTGTTTAGAAGGATATTAAAGTTATGGATCTAAACAAAAGAATTATTTCAGTTATTAATAATGATGTTGTAGAAGATAAACCTTAGCATACAAATCAATTGATTTTATAAGATGAGTCAGTAGACTAGCTCTCAAAGATTAAAGAGGACATTAACTAGAAAGAAAATTAAGTGAAAGACGAACTTTAATCTTTTGTTTCTTTAGAAATGGAAATTGAAAGATTGAATAAGCTAGGAGCTCCTTCTGTACTAGCAGCCTTTAAATAACCATAGTTATATGTTTCTTTCCTATTGGGTATTTTAGCTATAGGATTTGGCCTGCTTATCAATGGAAATTTCAAATCAATAGCTAAAGATTATGGATTTGTTAATGATAGCTTTTAGACATGGGTAGGATCAATAGGAAGTGCTGCTAATGGACTTTCAAGACCACTTTGGGCAGGTTTACTAGACAAATACTCATTTAAGCGTGTACTGAATGTGATATTAGGTATTGAAATAGTTTGTATTTTCACGATGCGTTTCACAGAAACCAATTAAATATTCTTTTTAATTTGGGTTGCTTTCACTTAAATGACTATGGGTTCTGTTTTAAGTATGTGGCCTGTTCTTTCTGCCTAGTTAAATGGTGTCAAAATAGGTTCTTAACTTTTCGGGTTATACTGTTTTGGTTTTAGTGTCTCCTCTATGATTTAATTCCTGATTGTTTTAGGTCTCAAAACTTCCATTGGATTTAACAACATTTATTACATTTACGCAGGCTGGGCTATATTATCAGTCCTCATAGTCACTTTCTATCCTTTTAAAGTCAATTGGTCTAAATATTATATGATCAAGTAAAAAAAAATTGAATTAACTAATTAAAATAATTAATAATAAAAGTGATTTTAATAAAAAAATTAATTTACATGTTTTAAAAATTATTGTTATATTTATTACTTAAAATTGATATTCATCATCTATTAATCAGTCCTTATATTAAATTTAAATAATTACAAATTTTATGTATTTGAAAAATTTTTCAATACTTTCATTTTATAAATTAAGATTTTCATGATAAATAATCAATACCTTAATAAAATTAATAAAAACTACTAAAATATCAAATTTTTAAAAAATCTTAAAAATTTTCTTTATTTTTCTTAGGCAAAATATTTATTTTTCCTACAAAATGGTATTAAAAAGAGAAATATAAAGTATGTTAACATATATAATAAGTTAAATAATAGCTCATAAATATAAAAATAACACAATAAATAATTTATGTTTTAAGTCTTAAAGTCAAAATAATAAATAAATTATTTTTATCTTTTGTTTTAAAGGTTTTTGCAATTAAATTTATATAAATAATCGTTTATTTTTGCTCTTAAATTCTGATTATTTGTTATATAATTAATTATAAATGAATTAAATCTACAAATTTAACCTGACTTAGTAAAGCAAATGATCATATTATGAATTATTAATTACAAAATTTAAACAAAGAAATTTTTTTAATTTTACTATGTATCTAATAACTTGAAACATTCATTTATATTTTACTAGTAAAATTAAATGTTTAAAGATTTTACAAGCAAAATAAAAATTGGTTTTTATGTCAACAAAAATAGTCAAGCTCATAAATTAAGCTTTCATTCCTTTTGCAGTAAAGTTTTGATTAGAAATATTAGCATTTTATTTTATTATATAAGAATACATAATTGGAGATTTTAGATTTACAAATTTCTTTAAAATCTTTGTTTAAATTTCCTAACAAGCTTTTTAAGAAGTTATAATACTGGATCTAGCTAATTACAAAAAAATCTCTTGACTATTACATAAAAAAAACTAATTATTCCTTTATACTTGCTATTTACATTAAAAATATATAACAAAATCATTAATCAATTAAAGTAGATAGAAATTTAATCAGATAGAAAAATTAATTTGGTCTTAAGTGATTTTTATAAGTATTGAAAACATGAAGGAGGAGAATATTTTAAACTTAAAATATATCAATAAATTAGATTATCTATTTACATCTAAATAGATTAAAGTATTTTAAAGGTAGTTTTTATCAGTTTAATCTCTTTAAATTTTATATTTTAACCTTGAGAGAGTGCTATCAAAAATTAATTAATCATTTATTTATTATTTATTTTTAATATTTACTTAATTTCAATTATTTTTGATGAATATATCACTGACAAATACCAATTAAAACTTGAATATTTTTAAGTAAACTAATAATTTAAATGAATTGCTTTTGAGAAGATTTATCAGAAATCACATCAATTATTTATTTATATTTCTTTTCTAATCAGGGTTGCTAATATTTCTATATGACTTTTATTTAGATTTTTAAAATGATTTATTGATACAATGATATGTAAAATCAAGAATTTAAATACTATTATATTTAAATAACATATTAATAGAAAGATAAGTACATTTAGGTATGAAAGTTAGTTTAACTAGATAATAATAATATAAATATAATTCATTACATTTAATACAATTTCGTTTCTAGTAAATATTTACATTAATATGCAAAAAAATAAAGATTTCTTTTTAAAATTTCAATATATTTGATGCTATTGTTAATAAAAAAAATTCTATACAATGAATGACTTAATTTGATTAGGAATTGATAAGAAACACAACTGACCACAAAATTAAGATAAATACTGATAAATATATCTATGTAGTGTTTGAATTTACAATTAAATAAAATACAAAACAATCAATTATTGAATTAATTAATTAAGTAGTAAATAGTACTAATCTATATCTCTTAATCAAGCAAATATAATAGCAGACATGGAACTTACTATGAAATAAAAGGGAATAATTACCCTGATAGGAGGGTTCATGTTAGAACTAGTAACAGGAACAGCTTTTTTGTGGGGACAGTTCAATGTTTATATAACTTCTTATTTTAGATAAAAAGATGATTCAGGTTTAGAATTAAGTGTTGGAGGGGCTATTTTTCCTGTTATGATGGCTTCTTTGGCTTTAGGTATACCTATGGGGATCAAAGGAATCAAATTTTTTGGCTCAGCTAGACTGTGCTGTATTTTTTGTTCTTTTTTCGCTGCATTATCTGTATTTGTTGCAAGCTATACTCAAAAATTTTGGTAATTTGTCTTAATTTATGGAGTCGTCCATGGGATTGCCTAAGGAGCAGTTTATTTTATTCCTATCTACATGGGATATTTATTCTTTCCCACTAATAAAGGCATGGTTTCTGGTATTGTAACTTGCGGATTCGCGCTAACATCTTTCGCTTTTGGCATGATCTTTTTTGCTATTGTAAATCCTAATGGATTAGTATAAATCCAAGACAGTGATGGCTTTTCATATTTCCAAGGACCTTCCGTCTAAGTAGCTAAAAATGTACCTGAATCTCTAAGAAAATTGAGCTACATGTATGTCTGCATAGCATTTTTTTCTTCCTTGCTGATCCTTTACCATCCAAACTAAATTGGAGAAGAAGAAAAGAGACTTAAACTAGAGTTAAAGAACAAGTAAGAAGAAAAGAAAATCTTAGAGTCAAATCTAAGTAGACTTTAGCAAAGAGATGAGTAATCGATTCCAAAACCTGAATAAATAAATACAGAGAAAGTAGAAAATTAATAAAATGAAATGTCAAGTGTAAGGAAAAGCATTTAGCTATTTAACAAAACTATAGGAATCGTAGATTTAGAGTAGCAAGTTATTAAGAAAAAAATAGAATTAACTTAGAAATAAGAAAAATAACAAAGCTATCGCATCATTTTGCCTCATCAAAATATTCAAAACGACAAAGAAATTTAACAATATAATTAACTATTTTAAAATAAAATGTATTCTAATACAAATGAAAAGAAAAACTATAACGAAAATGAGCAAAGTGTTAATTATGAGAATAATTCTTTACTTAGGGTAGTTTCTAAAGACATTAAAGTCATGGATTTGAATAAAAGAATTGTTTCTATTGTTTAAAATTAAAATGATGACAGAGCTTAAGACAAACCCTAACACACAAACGAATTAGTTTAGGATTCATCTATAGATCACATCTCAAAGATTAACGATGACATCAACTAGAAAGAGAATTAAGTGTAAGACGAACTTTAATCTTTCTTTTCCTTAGAGATGGAAATTGAAAGATTGAATAAACTAGGTGCGCCTTCAGTTTTAGTGGCCTTCAAATAACCATAATTATATGTCTCCTTCCTTTTGGGAATCTTAGCTATTGGCTTTGGGGTTCTCATTAATGGAAATTACAAATCAATAGCTAAAGACTATGGATTTACTAATGATAGCTATTAAACACTAGTAGGATCCCTTGGAGGTATAGCTAATGGGTTTTCAAGACCACTATGGGCTAGCTTACTAGATAAATTTACATTTAAGCATGTTTTAAATGTGATCTTAGGTATTTAAATAGTGTGCATTTTCACTATGCGTTTGACCAGTACAAGTTAAATTTTCTTTATTATTTGGGTATTCATCACTCATATGACTATGGGCGCTGTTTTAGGAATGTGGCCTGTCCTTTCTGCTTAGCTAAATGGAGTCAAAGTAGGGTCTTAGCTTTTTGGGTTATATTGGTTTGGTTTTAGTATGGCGACGATGATACAGTTTTTGATCGTGTTGGGACTCAAAAAATCGATCGGGTTTGATAACATATATTATATTTATGCTGTTTAAGCCATAATTTCTGTACTGATAATCTAGTTCTATCCCTTCAAAGTCAATTGGTCTAAATATTACATGATCAAGCAAAAAAAAATGGAGTTACCAACATTAAATGATAATCAATTTAAGGAAATTTAATAAAAATCATGAGAAAAATTAATTATTATTAAACGATATCTATCTAATCTCATAAATTAAACAATCTTTATAATCAATAAAATTTTTAATATTTATCATTAAACTAATAAAGGATTAAACAGTATATTAAAAAAATTAATTTTATTTTATTTATATTTCTAAATATTGAAAAAACTACTACATAAAACTAAATAAATTTTATTCTATTTTATTTTCTGAAATTTACAAAATTAAATTTATAATATTCAAAACATTTAAATTATTATTTAAACTTAAGGGGTTTTTGGATATTTATTTTATGGTAAATTATATATTTTTTTAGGATATATGAAATTAATTAAATAATTATTTCTAAATTTATAAATTCAAAAATATAGAAAATAAAAATGAGATAACATAATCAAGGAAATTATAATAGTATCTTAAGAGTATAATAATACATAATATTATATTTAATCATATATTTATATTTTCCTAATTCAAAAGTTTCTAAGCTCTTCATTGTCTGAACACCTTTCTTTAATCTTAAATTTAAAGTAATTTAAAATTAAGCTTAATAATAAAATTAAACAATGTTAATAAAATATTTATAAATTATGATATAATGAAGCAATAAAAGCGTAGGTTATTTTGCACAAGACTTATCTTCAGGTTTATCAGAATGTGCCAATCTCTCTCATTTAGTCTTGTTTTTGTAGTAAGTTTAATTTTTTTACATATGATTAAATAAATTTAATTATTATTTATTTTTAAAATTCATATTAAATTATAGGGATAATTCAATTAACAATCAAGCTGTTTCATTAATATTCTCTGCATTAACGAAATGTGACATGATCTAAAATTTAAAAATTGATTTAGAGTAAATTTAATTAAGCTTCTATTTAATCGATTTAAAAAAAATTATGATTAAAATAATTATCCTATTAAATATTGTAATTATTGTGATTTAAGGTCATAAAATTTAAAATTCTACATAAGTTTTAAAATAATTAACTTATTTTTTTAAATACCCTTTTTTTAATTTTAAATTTTGTATTATATTACAAAGTTTATATTAGATTTTCTTTTAATTTTTATCTTTAATTTAATTTATTGACTAATATTTTTGTTTAATAAGTAATAATAATATTGATGATGAAGGTTTATTAATTATAGGATCTCAATTATCATAATTAAAAAATCTCTAAACTTTGAAACTTGGATTAAAGTTAGTTGATTATTAATTTCTCCATTATTTTATAATTTATTAAGAAAAGTGATTAAAATGAGTGAGTGAATAAAAACATATTTTAATTATTTTATATGAATTATAAAATAATAATTAAGATTAATTATTTATTAATTGTACTTAACATTTACTAAATAAAAGAAATAATAAAATTGGAAATGCAGGTGTGTCAAAATTATTTATTGGGCTATCATAATGCACTAGTCTCATAGATTTAATAATTGAGTTTGAGTAAATCTAATGCACTTATTTATTTTTTAAAAACTTTTTAGAGTTATTTTGAAGAAAAACAAACTAAATCCATAAATTATTTGAAAAAAATCATATTAAAACATTATTCACAAAATTGTGGTATTAAAAAAATTATGAAATTAAATTAATTATTTTATTTAAATAGTCATAACAAAATTGGAAATATTGGTATCTAAAATTTAAGTACTCACCTAGAAAAATTGATAAATATCTAAGCATTAAGACTTTTCTTTATGTAAGTTATATATTAGCTTATAATACTTTCAAATTTACATTAGAATTAATCAATCAAAGATTAAAGAATTGAATATTATAAATTAACTCTCCTTAAATTAGAATATTTTACTTTTCGCATACTTTAAAAACTTACCATTTCAATTAATAAATAGTTGTTAAATTATTAATTTGTATTATAGGAATTGTGATATTGGAGAAGAAAGTGCTTAATCTTTAATCTTAGGATTATAAAAATTTACATAGCTTCTAGTTTTAAATTTAGATTTTAAGTAAAATGAAATTGTTTTTTGGTTTGAATAAATTTATTGATGATTGATTTTTGTGAAATGAAAAAAATCATTATTAAAACATTAAAACAAATTAAATTATTAATAAATAAAATCATTAGTGAAAACATCATATAAAATTAAAAATATTTTATTTTCGTTAAATTCTTTATGCCTCTTTATTTATTAGATTTAAATTAATTATTTGAAAAGAAAAAATAAAATTGACGATAAGGCTTTAAAAGGATTGGGCTCTGTATTAGCAAAATACATAAATCTCTAAGAATTTTAAATTGATTTGATGTAAATTTTAAATAAATTAATTTGAAATTAATAAAATCTTCTACATTAAATGACCAAAATTTTTTGATAAATTTTAAGATTATGAATTCCCTAAACAACAAATACTCAAATTTATAATGAAATTAAACAAAATTTTACTTTTTTGTGAATTCAATTTTAATTATAAAATCAAATAAATATCAACTTATTAATAATTTAACCCTCATAATATAAAAAAGGAATAATTAACATACTTTCAATGGTGTATGTGATTTGTTATTTGGATTATAAAAATGCTTTAATATGTAGAAATTAGAACTCAATTTGTGGTATAACTTGATGATTTACTTCTTTTATCTTTAATAATAACTTAAACTTATATTTTTCTTTTTATTTAAAATTTTATTTTTTGCAATTAATACTTTTTAAAAATAACTTATTCATTTTTATTTTTAAATTTATTTACAAACAAAGTAATTCTAAAATCGATGACCAAGGTTTGTCACATATAAGCTCCTAATTGTCAAAATTCATAAATATATCTAGCTTGAGACTTAATTTAATGTAAATTTTAAAATGATTTACTTTTATTATAAAAAAATGAAATGAATCTCTCCTAAAATTTCTTTACCGTTTATTTTTAAAGAGACTTATTTTTAGTTTTTAAAGGGGGAGTTTTGTTTAATTTTTATATTCAAAATAACAAAAATTTAAAAATTAATATTGAAAAACTTCGAACTTAAAAGAATATTTTTATTTATTATTTAATTTGAATTTATATTAGATTTCATTTATTTTATTCAAATGTAATAATTAAATTTAAATAATTAACTTTATTTAAAGGAATAACTAGATAAAGAACGAAGGTGCTTTTTGTTTAAGCCAAGGTTTAGAATGCTGCAAAAATCTTAAAAATTTAAACTTGGATTTAAGGTTTTTATTGAATTTTAATTCTTATTTAATAATCTATTTCTTAAATTTAATAAACAAAGTAATAATGAAATTGACTACAAAAATGAGTCAAGTTAGGGCTTGAGGTTACCTAAGTGTGAAAATCTCTAAAATGTAACAATCTATCTTCAGTAAAATAATATATTTATTTCCTAACACCAATTAATACAAATAAAAATATTAATTTAAGTTTTTTCTGCTTTTTACTACCTAAAATTGCATTTATTTTTTAATTAACTTTTCATTTTAAAAAAATAAACTAAACTTATTATATAAAGCTCAAATTAAATTTCTGGTTTAGGGGTTGCTTAAATATGCTCTGGGTTAGATAAATTCATAAATCTATTATATTTAAAGCTTTCATTTATGTAAATTTAGCATCATTTATTGTGTTTAAATTTTATTTTCTAAACTAATTTTTATTAAACATTATTTAAATTCTCAGTTCTGAATAAAAAAATAAATATTTTTTATATTAATCCTACAATTAAATAATATTAAATTTAAAAGGAGTAATAAAATCGATGGTGTTGGGGCATCTAATTTATGTTATGAGATAGCAAAATGTAAAAATATTTCTGGTTTGATAATTGATTTCAAGTAATTTTGATTGTACCATTTATTTTTAATTCATAAAATTATTAAATTAGCTTTTAAAAAATTTATTTTATTTGAAGATTAATTGTAGAATAATTGTTCAATACAAAAAGCTCATTTTTTGAAAATATTTTCAACTATCTTTTATTTTTAAATTAAATTTATAAAATTTTTAATAAAAGTAATAATAAGCTAGACAATAATTCAGCCTTGCTCTTGATATCTTAGTTATCATAGTGTTAAAATTTATCAAGTTTAATATTTGATCTGAGGTATGTTTTAATAAAAAATTATTTAAACATCAAATAATAGATATTTTTATTTTATGATACATCAAAATATAGAGTTAATTATTTGATTTACAAACAAAATTTTCTAAAAATATATGATTTATAAATTTATTATATTTTCTATTAGTTATAATGATATAAATTTGATTCACACTCAAAAATTAGAAATAAAAATCTAAAAAATGCTCAGGATAGTAAATTACTCAATTGCAAACGATTAAGATTCAGATGATAGTGAAGAAGATTGTTACTCAGGTTGTTTCGATTCGGAAGAAGAAGAGGAAGAAGAAGAAGATGATGAAAGAGAAGAAAATGGGAATGAATAGCTAGTAAAATCAAATTGAAAATTCTATCAATCTAGATGAACAAAAGGAATAAATTAAAAACAATTTATTTTGATTAAATAAACAATAAAAATATGCTTTTAGACTTTAATTTTAAAAAAATTTAAAATGAAAAACAGATAGCTTGAAGTAGTTCATTTAACGAAATTTTTTACTAAATATTTTGATTAAATATTTCAATAACTTTTCAAACTTTATTAATTAACTTTATTGTTAAAAGCATTTTATGTTGTAAATTAGTTGAATTTAATCATAAAATTAATTTAAAAATAAATTGTTTTATAAATAATTTAAAAATTAATTCCCTTTTTTAATTGTCATTTTATCCAAAATTTCATAATATATCCTGTTAAAGCAAGATGCCTTACAAAAATTTGGTGGTTTGCAAATGCCACTTATTATAAAATAGCCAAAAATTTTCAAAAAAGTACTTAATTATTTATTTGTTTTGAAATTCTTTTAAGTTTTTGCCTGTATTCATCGACATTAACAAATTTTTAATCAAAAGATTTCAAAGAATCCATGACAATTTAAAAACTAACAAAAATTTTGAAATCTAATTTTTTTTACCTAAAATAATTGACTAAATTTTCTTTTAATTAAATATTAATTATAGTTGTTAATCCAAGATGAAAAATTCATTTTACTCAATATATTTAATCTTAAATTTGAATACATTATAATTTTAATTATTTTTTTCAATAATTTAATCATTCATTTAATATTAAAGAAATATATGTCTTGGCTTGTTGAATTAGTAGCTATTGCTAAGTGAAGTTTTTAATATAATTATAAAAAACGAGCAAAGTACAATAAATATTTATTAGGTATGATTTTGATTGATACTATGAGAAATTTATTTGATGATATGACTGATCAATTAATTAGTTTTTAATTAATGTTTGATATGCTTATGTATCTAAAATTGGCTATTACATATTTAACATTATGTATTAAGAATTAATAGCTACACAACAAATTATTAATAATTATTTATTAATTAGTTAATAATTAGTTTCGAAGTAAGGATAAATGGACTAGAAGGTTTAAAAAAGTAAAATAAAATAAATTTTGACCTATGTATTTTCAGAGGATAGGTTATTAGGAGAAGGAGCGTTCGGAGTAGTTTACAAGGGTGAAGATAAAAATACAAAATAAAAGGTTGCCATTAAATAAATCTCGCAAAGTAAATTTTAGAATGACCCAATAGTGCTAAAAAATTTGAAGAGAGAAATTGAGATTATGCAAGATTTAAAGCACGAAAACATAGTTCAACTTTTTAATTTTACATATACAGCTAGCAACGTTTATATCATCTTAGAATATTGTGATGGCGGTGATATCCTTTCACTCATGAAGAAGAATGAGGGTAAGAGGTTTTCTGAAGAAATCGCTATTAAGCATTTTAGACAGATCACTGAAGCTTTTAAAATGCTCCATTCAAAGGGTATTATACATAGAGATATAAAGCCAGCTAATATACTTCTGCACAAAGGGATAGCTAAGATATCTGATTTTGGGTTTGCTAGAATGCTTGATCAGACTAATCTCAATTCACAATAAAAGTTAACAGCTTTAGGTAGAATTTTAGCATCAAAATTTTATTTTTTTAGAAGCTTTTTTGGTATAAAAAAGGCTCTCCTTTGTATATGTCTCCCTAAATACTGTCTCAGGAGCAGTTTTCAAGCAAGTGCGATATCTGGTCTCTTGGGGTTATGTTTTATGAAATGATTTACGGCAGAACTCCTTGGACAGCTCAGAGTTAAATAGAGCTTTTAAATAAAATAAACTCTCAGCCCTTGTAATTTCCTTCAGATGTCATAAGTTCTTATAATACAAAGGATATCATAGTAAGAATGCTTAAAGTCTAAGAAAATGAAAGAATTTCATGGGAAGAGATATTTGCTCATCCTTTACTTTCCGAAGAAGATTAGTATGTATTAGAAACAGCAGTTCAGAATAACATCTCTCATTTAGAATAATTCAAAATAATTGGATTATTTAACAATAACAATCAGTATTATGAGTTTTTTTAGCAACAAAGCTAACTTTAACAAGCACAGAAAAACCAAGTAATTAATTTACTTTGCTAATTTTTTAGAATCTTTATTTGCAAATAAAAAAATAAGAAATTTATTTTTTTAAATTGAATATTTTTAAGAAGAAATTAATAAAGTTTTTTTAATGAAAATTAATTTAGTGCATTTTAATCGATTGCGTAGTCCTATTTCATAGAAATAAGTATGTCTTATTTAATATTCTAGCTAGCCATATTTGTCTGCTTAAATTAAGATCAGAACTACCTGTTTCCAATGAAATATTCCTCAGTGCTTGCTTCTTGTATTTGAAGCTGTTTTTGGGATAAATAAAAAGTACTGCTGAAGCTCTTAAAGGAAATGAGATATTTGATCCTAATTTTGATCAATAAGATTTCTAAAACTATAAAAACTCAATATTATTTTAATAATCTACTAGCCTAATTGAATAAGACTTCAATAAAGCGAACTGTCTTTACCAATAAATAATTTCAAAGATTGTAAATAGATATTAAATCTAAATTTAATAATAACAACCATATCTAAGTGGTGAAATTTAACTACTCAAGCAGTAGTTGAGCAATTTATATGAATTAGATGAATAGTTTATGCTTTTTTATAACTAAGTCATGAACTAATTTATCTCAGCTATAATTGAAAAAAACAATTTACTTGACATAGAACATAAAAAAAAGCTATACACCATCCTCAAATATTGCTTCATTGTCTAAGATTTTGATGCATATTTTTAATTTGATGCTAGCAACCCAAATATTTAACAATTCCTTTCTTTCTACCATCATAATGACTAAATAAGCTTTTAAGAGCTCTAAAAAGAAGTTGATATTTAAATAGAATAACTCCTTAAATCTGGATGATTTCTATTATTATATAAACTAATATAAAAAAATATAAACGCAAACAATTACCTAATTACCTGAATTCTCATTTTTATATCCCCTATTTTCTTTTATCAATTTTAATATTTACTTTTCATTAAGCTATTTTTAAATTAATTTAAAATATTTTAGATTTGTATTATGAAAAAAATATTTAAAGTATATAATTTTAAAATAAAAAACAAAATATTTGATTATTATTAAAAATATTCTTAAATAAATAAAAGCTTTATTTAATTCTTTAATAGTAATTTATTTATATATCTAAGAAAAAAGATTATTTATGTTTTAAAATTTAAAAGAAAGCAACTTAAAGCTATCTAATTCTAAATAGAAAATGTGTTTGTTTGTTTGTTTGTTTTTAAAATAAGTAAAAGCTATATTTAAATTAAAAAAATTTATTGTGCTACTGCAATTAGTTTTTGTATAAATTTTTTATTTATTAGTACATCGATCTAAATATACATATGATATTGATTAAGTTAAAATTGGCTCATAATTATTTCATCAATTAGATTGTTCAGTTTAATTTGATATTCTATACTGTAAATAAATTGCTAGAATAGACTTACTTAAAAATTAATTGTCTAAAGTCTTAACTTAATTTATACATATTAATTTTACATATTTAAAGCTAATAAAATAAATAATTTGAACTGAGAATGAGGTATCAGCTCTAAATCAGTAAAATTATAAAGATGACCTAAAAATACATTTTTTTAAAATAAATTTTAATCACATTAAGACATTTTAGAATAGTAAATATAGTATTAATGTTTAATGATATTTAACCTAATTAATCTTAATTTTGCCTCATGAACTTTTTTAATTTACTATTAGAAATCAAAAAAGTCATGTATGTATAAAAGAATTAAAAAGTAAAAAAAGAAAATTAAGTGTAAGAAGGAATTTCATAAATATTTAATGAATAATTTTGAACAAGATTCAATTTAAGATATAAAGTACCAACAAATATAATGTTAATTTATTGATTGTAATTCAAATAATTATTACATTGTTGGTTAAATTTTATATCGTCTACAACTTAATTATTTTTATCAATTTTAAATGAAAATTAATTAAAAAAAGATATTCAACAAATTGTACATTCTTGATGCAATAGCATTAAATAGTGTAAAAAGAAGCTATTTAAGTATTAAAAGGTAAATTATAGTAATTATTAGGTGAAGATTGGGATTTTATTGATAATCATTTTTACGATTGTTATAAAAATTTGAATATTATACAGTCAAATGATCAGATTATAAAAATTCTATTTCTTGCACTATCCCTAATATGTATAAAAATACTTCTTAGTAGTTTTAAAAAAAAATTTTCATTTTGTTTAAAGTAAAAAAATTCCGATTGTCAAAATCTTCACATATTCGGTAGACCTCTAAAATTTACACATATAATATAATAAACTAAAAATTTATATTAATTGATGTAGAAAAACACGTTTTTATTTTCTTTAGTTAGATTTTCATTTGAATATTAATAGTTGTTATATTATTTTCTATGTTAATTAGTCAGTATTTATCATCAATCAATCTATCAATCAGTATCAGAAATCTGATTGATTTCGTTAGCGAAGGTAGCTTATAAAAATTCAAAAATAATAATTTAGATTATTAAATTAAGACTAAATTAAAGAGATAGGTTTTTATTAGATGTTAAAAAAATAATGCTGAAAAAAATATTTTGGATTTTAGTTCATAGTTTATCTTAAAGATAATACTTTTTTTAAATAACATATAATGTTAAAAGACATAAAGATTACTGTCATAAGAATAGAAGTCCATTAAATATTAAAAATCAATCTATTAATTTTTAAGATTTCATACTTTCACTTTTATGAATCAATAAACAAATTTATTACCTTCAGCTAACTAAAAAATGAATGATAGTAAATAAATACTCTCAATTAGTTATTTTAAAAATATTTTCTTTTAAATTTGTTAAAAACAACTTTTACTTGTGGCATTTTTTAATTTACTTTCATTTTTATAGATAAAACGCTCTTAGCTTTTTTAAAAATATTCATAATATATGATTTGTTTTTAAAAAGTTTTAAATTTATAATTTTAGCCTTATCTAAGATTTGCTTGTAACAGAATTTATTTATCCATAGGCTTTATTTCTATGACATAAATTAATTAGAAATAACAAAAAGAATGCGTATTCTATTAGAAAAGGGTATGTATATTCAACGCAAATTATAATATTTATAAAAGAATTCAAAAGTAAATAAAAGAAAGTAGGTAGGTTTAAAAGGTCAGGTCTTTCGAAAATTGACAAAAGAATTGTAATTAAATTAATTAATTAAGAAAACTAAGAAATTAACATTTTTCCAAAAAAATAAATAAATGAGCCTTTAGAAAACTGTTTTATCCCTCATTTTGGTTGCTTTGAGTGTTTCTGTACTTTTATTCGTTGTTCAAAAGAGTACTAACATTTAAAGAGAACTTAAGCAATACTAATCATTCTCAGAATACCTTCCTACCAACTAATAATGCCTTTCTGATTAGAAATTATGTGGTGATAGTGCTTGGGATACATCTTTGCCTTGCTGTGCAGGATTAGTATGCAAAAGAATTCAATGGGATACTTATTGCGTTTCTTCTTCAGTAGATAATTGAAGAATAAGATTTCTAATTACTATACAGAAAGATAGCACAAATGAATATTATAATTATCAAATTTTATATCTTAAATAAAATTATTATATTCTTCAACAAATGCACAAGTTTATAAATAAATAAATAAATATATTTATCAAACTTTATATCCTAAATTTATTTTTATTAAATTTCAATTTTAAAATATATTTTAAAGGTTTTTAATTTATTTTCATTTTAAACAGAAATACATTCATTTTATTTATTAGTTATTTTTTAATAATTATTATTGAATTAATTTACATTTGTTTGTGAATAGTAAGCTAATTTATCTTATAACTTTCGATCATAAATTCAAAGTTGAACAAAAATAATAAATTATAAATAAGATCAGCAGTTGATAAAATTGTAAAAAAATTTAAAACTTTCTAAATTTATAAATAAGTATAAACCTATTCTAAAATTACAAATTTTCATAATAAATAAAATTGAGCAAAATAAAACAAATAAAAAAAAACAAAATTTTAACAAATAAAATTAATTAAATGTTATAATTAATATACAGATGTTTCAAATAAAGTAACCCGTGCCTTTTGTTTTTATTTTGATTTTTAATTATATTCAAAATTTCATGTAATTAACATTTTAGAATGATCTTTGATGAGAAAATAATACTGAATAAAAATTCATATTCAAAATTGCATGTAATTAATATTTTAGAATAATCTTTGATGAGAAAATAAAAACTGAATAAAAATGCATATTCAAAATTGCACTTGATTAATATTTTAGAATAATCTTTGATGAGAAAATAAAAACTGAATAAAAATGCATATTCAAAATTTCATGTAATTAACATTTTAGAATGATCTTTGATGAAAAAATAAATACTGAATAAAATTCATATTCAAAATTGCACGTAATTGACATTTTAGAATAGAATGATTATAAAAAAATTATTTTTAAAAATTTATGTAGCTTCAAATTCTCTCAAAAAATAGTAGAGTCATGTTAACATTTATATAATTTATAAACAAAAATAAAATACTTTTATAATAATAACAATAATAATATAAAATAGACAATTTAATTAATTAAAAATTAAAGAAAATCCCCACTAATCCCCATGAATCCCCAATTTTTTATCTCAGGTTAACCAATATAAATATAGAATTACTATTATTATCTCACTTAAATATAAAACTTCTTTTTTAATGATTCTTCCAATATTTAAATTTATTTATCACATAATAATCCTAAAATATAATCAGTATCATTGTCTTTTTTAATTTTTTCCCATAATTCTATTAGCCTTTTAAAAAATCCTTCTTATTCATTTTCATCATATTTATCACATTTTTTTATATTCTCTATTTATTCAATTAATTTTGAATATTTACTAAACATATATAATTTTTACTTTTTACCTTTATCTTTATAGAGATGAAGAATAAATTTAAATTTAACTATTTTCTAATTTTCATCCTTAGATTATTCATAAATCTTTTGTATAATACTATCTTAAAATTAAACATTCTAAACAAAAATAAGACTAACAAATGCTTCTTTTATAAATTCACTTGAAAGATAATTTGTAATTTTGGGATTAGGATCGAAAGGTATAGGTTACAATTCAATTTATTATTACTATTATTATTACTGTTGTTATTATTATTATTGTTGTTATTATTATTCTTGTTTCAATTCTGTTTAAGTTAGCGCCTAGCCAAACATAAATTATTTATAATCAAATTAATCAGAAACTTATGGTAATTAAACAGATGAAAATAATTTTTATTATTAATATAAAGTATTTAAATTTTGTATAAATGCATTAATCGATAACCATTAAGAATATTTTTTCTATTTTGTTTCATAATTACTTGTAAATTATTGATTTATTTTGTATTATTTATATTCTTCATCTTAAACAGGAATTGTATCAGGCTCTTCATAAAAAGTTTAATTTATATATCTAATAGTCGCTTGAGAACAAATATAAAGAAAACTTTATACTTATTAGTTAATATATTACTTCATACATAAATAAAAATAATATAACATAGTATCTAATACAAAATAAGTTTAAAAACTATCAAAATTCTTTGCTATTTATTAATGATTATTATTTTCAGAATTTTAAAATATTTTTTTTAATTTTTCTCTTTTCATAATATTAAAAAGTTAAAATTAAATTCTTTATTATGTTGATAAAATTTAATCAAAATATAATTCCCATTATTTTTTATATTCTGTCATAAAAGTATTATTTTCAGACTGATCATCACTATGATATCCTTAAACTCTTGTTATTAAATCCAATTCTTTAAACTTGAAGATAGGATATTTCTCATATAAACCTAAAGGTTTAACATCAGTATTTATTTGCATTTATTAATATAATTCATTAGTGTATAGAATTTTATATGTTACAGGATCTTCTATATATTTTCTTGCTCTTCCTAAAACTTGAATAAATGAATTTAACACAAATAATTATGATTCTTACTTACACATAAGAATTAATGTTCTCAAAAATCTACCTTCTTAATCAGCAAAATCTATACCTACTTTATCCGAAGCTGAGATATATATTAATATTGGTTTTTTATATTTTTCATATATTAATTTTACTTCCTCTTTCACTTAATCGCTAATTGTACATATATCAACTTATCCATCTTTTTTCGCACTACTAGATTTTATTCCATATTCTTTTAATTTTTAATATGCTCTAGTATAAATAAATTCACCTAATTATGAAACAAATTATTTAGGTGTTTATATTTTTTTAAATTCTGGAATTTCATTTTTACCATAACATTAATTTAACATTTATTCTGTTGCGATTATTATTTTCTCTTATTTATAAACTATTCCAACTCTATGTCCTGTATTAATTAATAATTAACAACCTATATCTAAAGTTTAATAATATCTAAACATACCAAATGGATCCGCTAACATTGTATGTGTATTTTTATTAATATCAAATTGAGCCACAAAATCATCTAATACTTGATCATTTCCAAATAATTTATTCAAATTTAATTATATCTTTTCAATTAGATCAAGGATATCCTCGACTTTATAGGTTATATCAACATATATGTTATGTGCACCATAATTTTTACCACTTGTTTTATCCTACATAGAAAAAAAAGATAAACTTCTAACGAAATTTCTTATTATCATTAGATATTTTTTCTCATTATCTTGTAATTTCTCAAAATCTTTATCTTTTATAGATTATAGGAATTAGATTACAGTCTTTGAATCTTTTAGATCATCCTAAATAAATGGTAATTAATCTATTTATTTTTTATTTTTCGGGTCGAAGGTTAATTCTTTCGATATTAATTTTAATACTTATTCCTCTGATTATTTTTAAAATGTTTAATCATAAATATATTTTTATAACTCTTAAGAAAATGGATAATAATCTAATAACATTTTATATGATCTCATAAGTAGATTATATTCATATGTTCTATAATTGAGCTCTGGATAAACAATTTCATTTTAATCTTATATACTTTATTACGATTCCATATTATAAAACTTAATAAATTCAAAAAGGAAAGTAAAATTACCCATCATAGGTGAACCTGTGAAAGACATAAATAGCCCGTGAATATACATCAAATCTACTGTATTTATATTCATACCTTTCAATGGTAATTTTGCATTTTAATAGAAAACATCTGTATTTAATATAGCTCTCAGTATATTTTCATTAACTTGAAATCCATATTTTTTCAACTGTTCCTCAGTATCTATAGGATATATTTACTATAATAATGAATATACCTGAGTATCTTTCTTTATTGAATCTAAAAATTCTTCATCATAAATCTTTCCTACATTATCCTTTATATTTTTATTTAAACAATAATCTATATACATTTTAACTGTCAAATACATTGAAGTTTACCATAATGAGAAATTACTTCCGCATGCCGGAATCTTAAAATCTATGAAAGGCCTTGCCATGTATTTATTCTTCTCTTCATTACATCTTTATGCATATTCATTACAATGAGGTCCGTAATCCTTTATAAATTATAAATCTTATATACTCTACTACATTTAATAAAAGAATTCACCTTTTTCATCTTTCATAATTGTTTTCTATGTTATAAAATCAAAACAATCTCCGACAAATTATTCATAATTTTTTCTATCCATCAAAACATCTTATTATCCAGTCATAGTTAATTTATTATTCGATTGAGAAGCAAGAGATTATGAATCAATTTCATCTCCTATGAACAATGTTTTCCTCAAAGATTGATATAAATCATATTTCATTTACATAAAATCATCATATTCTTATTTTTATATTAATCCATCATCATATTTTTCTTTAGTTTTAATAAAAAACTGATCGAAATAAGTTTAAAGAAATTTTCTCTGAGTGTAAGTCAATACAAAAATATACTTAGTTTTTCTAATTTTTTAAAAATAAAGATCAAATTCATTTTAATTTTTAAATTTAATATAATCTTTTATTTAATTATAATAAAATAAATTTTAATCAGTTTCTGTTCTGCCTATTAATATCAACATAATTAGAAACAATATTTTATTAAATTCTTAAGGATCATCTGTCATCAAACTTGTAAAATCAGGAATTTAAAAAATTTAAATATCATCATAAAATAATTAATTCATAATTAATATTTTATCTCTCACACCAGAATATGTATCACCTAATAAAATTTCAGGCACACAAATAAATATATTATTTTTCAAATTATTAAATCTATTACCTGCAAAATTCATTAATCTACAATTAATTCCATATTTATAATTATTTGTTTTTTATTTATTTTCAGATTAAATTTTTTATAATAGTTTTTCTATTATTTCTGTCATCTTGTATAGATCATTTCCATAATTTGCAATATTTTTAAATTAATTATCTAAATTATTATCTTATTTTTCTAATTAATTGTCATAATAGTAATCATCTAATTGTTATTATTTATCTAAAATTTTATATTTTAACTCGCATGTTGAAAAATGTCTCAAAATTAAAGTTGTAAAAACAATAAAAGGTAATGCATGCGCTGTTTTACCTTAACCTACTTCAAGGAAAAATGATGAAAAATCTTTAGTTGCATCTGTTACAAGATAATAAAATATTTCCAATAATACATTCTTTTATCTTGATTTATCTTTCCATCCGTAATTTGCAATATATTCAAAACAAAATCCTTCAATATAAGGTGTTTAATTAAGTAATATTTTATTAGAATAATCTTTCATCAATTAATCAGAATTATTTTCTAATTCTCGTTTATAATTTTAAATCTATAAATAAAATTCATCATTTTATATTTTATTATTATCTTTTTCGAATTCAGTTTCATTTCTATATTTCTCTATTCTATCTTTTATTTATTAATTGTCAACTTTTGTTGAGAATTTAACATCTAAATTTTTCTCATCAAATATTTATTATAATTATTTAATTTGAGGTATTAAATTTATAATAAAATCAACTAAAATATGTTGTTAAGAATCGAATTATGAATTATTTATCTAATTTAAAAAAGATAAATTTATATTTTATTTATCTTAAATTAATTATTATGTGTCTATCATTATCTGTTCAATTATTTCTTTTTTAAGATTATCATTTTCCTTTCTCGCTTGGCATAATTCAACAAAAAGTTAAAATATATCTGTTTATAAACTTATTTTTTCATTTTAATTATTAATTAAATTCATAAAATCTTAAAAATCCATTTTATAAATTTACATTCCATTTTCAAATTAAGTTGTTTATTTTAATTCTTTCATTTAATTTTTAAAATAGAAAACTCTTTAATTATTTCCAAAAACTTATTTAGTTGCAAATATTTTATATGTTTCATTTTTAAAATAATTTTCAATTTTATTTCCTGGTTGTTTCATATTATTTAGATTATTTTTCATTTAATCATTCACAGTTATAATATTTAAAACTTTAAAAAGAACAAATTCGATTTCAATATTTGTATTAGGTTTGACATTATGAGGTTTATACATTTTAAATGATAATTCAACATATGGTGATTTACCTTTCTATACACATTAACTCTAATATAAAGAAGTATTTGATAAATATTAAGTTAGATTTTTCAAGTCATAAAATTTAGAATTTTTAGTATCATTTATAAAAAAAGAATATTATTTTGTTATCTATAATTAATCTACAGTATCATTTCCGACTTAAACTTTTTCTATAGTGAACATATTTTCAATTAAATTTCTATATGATAATTGGAAAGCATTTGCATTTTATTATTTAATATCTTCTTGGAAATTATCATAAAAATATTAAATAATTTCTCTAGTTTCGTCTAATCCATAAAAACATAATAATTTATTTATTAGAATTAATGATTAAGGTGTTTTTAGATGTAAAATAGTTTTTAAGTTTTATTTAATAAAAGGAATTAATTATTATGCTTTAGTATCATATTTTATTTTTTCAAAAATTATTAACAACTTAGTGCAAAAATAAAATCTATGTATTGAAAATATAGAGTTTTATGTAAACTAACAATACTTAATATCTTTACCACAATGAAAATTAACTATATTTTAAACATACATTTATTCGGGCTCTCCTGTTACATAATCTAATAAAAAAAATTATTATTAAATTAAATCTTTAGTTGAAAAATATTCAAATATTTATGATTATGTTAATTAATTTATTTTTTCAGTTTATTATTCCATAAATATTTCTTAACTTTCTTAATCAAGATCAAGGTTTAATTTTTCAAGATCTGGAGCATAAAATCCATTATCTAATTATTCTATTCTTTATTTTTCTTGTTAATCTTAAACAGCTTAATCTCTAAATTCATCTAGATACATTATAGATTAGGATAAGAATTAAACAAGTGCAAACTAAGGAAATGTATTTACATCAAGAATTACTGGTGAAAAATGTCTTAAATTATCTCCGAATTATGGCAATCTATTTTTTAATAAATTTAAATAAAAAACATTATATTTATAAGCATTAAAACAGAAATAATCTAATTTTTGAGTAAGTCTATGTATGTCTTTTAATAATTATTCTGCTTCTTCGAATTTAGTTATTTATTATGCTTAAATTTATTCTTCAAATAATTATTTTATCTACGGATCAATATCTTAAATTATGTATTAATATTTATTTTCTTTTATATCTTTGAAATCATTATTATCAAAATAATAATAATGAGCTTGATTAATATACTCATATTCTTATATTTTTTATGTAAATTTATTTTTTATTGGTATTTTATTCATTTTTACATCTATTACTTATTATATTAAATTTTAATAATCTTGATAATTTTATGATTATCTTAATTATTATAATGTTAATTATGGTTATTCTGGATTTATTTCAATTTGAAAAACATTTAAAAAGAAATCAGGACTATCATTAACTGTAAATAAAGTTTCATTTTAAGTTTTTTTTGTTGTAAATTATTATTATATTTGGAAATTTTATTCAAATCCTTGATCTTATTATTTTTAAGTAAATTTAGAATTTATGTATTCGAAATGTTTTGAAATTAATTATTACATTTAATAATTTTAATTTTTTATTTTTTATTTTTATTTTTTTAATTTTATTTTTCAAATATATAATTATTTTTTTTTTCTTATTATTCGCACAATTTAGTTATTTATTTTATCTTAATTTCTTATTCGCTTAAATAAATTATTCCGCTTCACTATATAATTTATTCGCGCTCATTTGTTAATTTCTTAGATTTAATTGTCTGTGCTTATTCTTATTCGCTTAAATAAATTATTCCACTTCGCTACATAATTTATTCGCGCTCATTTGTTAATTTCTTAGATTTAATTGTCTGTGCTTATTCTTATTCGCTTAAATAAATTATTCCACTTCGCTACATAATTTATTCGCGCTCATTTGTTAATTTCTTAGATTTAATTGTCTGTGCTTATTCTTATTCGCTTAAATAAATTATTCCACTTCGCTACATAATTTATTCGCGCTCATTTGTTAATTTCTTAGATTTAATTGTCTGTGCGCCATTAAAATTATTTTATTTTTTTTTTTATTTTAATTTTTATCTGATTTAAAATATGAAAAATTTAATTAATCTCAATTATAATCTGATACAATTTTAAATCTGAAAAGTTATCAAACAAGTAAATTTCGGGCATTAAATTAGTTAAGAATAAATTAATTCTACCAATTTCGCGGTGCGAAGCGCATGCGGAGCAAATTACTTATAGTTATTTATCTGTGCGCCATTAAAATTATTTTATTTTTTTTATTGTAATTTTTATCTATTTTAAAATAGGAAAAATTAATTTAATCTCATTTATAATCTGATACAATTTTAAATCTGAAAAGTTATCAAACAAGTAAATTTCGGGCATTAAATTAGTTAAGAATAAATTAATTCTACCAATTTCGCGGTGCGAAGCGCATGCGGAGCAAATTACTTATAGTTATTTATCTGTGCGCCATTAAAATTATTTTATTTTTTTTATTGTGATTTATCTATTTTAAAATAGGAAAAATTAATTTATTTTTAATTATAAAATCTAGAATTCTTAACTCTGAGAAACTATAAAACAAGTAAATTCCGGGCATTAAATTAGTTAAGAATAAATTAATTCTACCAATTTCGCGGTGCGAAGCGCAAGCGGAGCAAATTACTCAAAGTTAATTGATGCGGAAATTGAATGTTATCTATTCATTTTTTAATTATTTTTTCTGATTTAAAATTCGGATATTAAATAGTTTTCAGAAATTAGATAATGAGTGAAAATAAATTATGTAGCGAAGCGGAATAATTTATTTGAACGAATAGAATGAATGGAAAATGGAAAATGGAAATGGAAAATGAAAAATGAAAAATGAAAAATGAAAAATGAAAAATGAAAAATGAAAAATGGAAATGGAAAATGGAAAATAAAAAATAAAAAATAAAAAATAAAAAATAAAAAATAAAAAATAAAAAATAAAAAATAAAAATGAATCAATAATTAAATCATATAACACCATCCAATTATGATTAATCAATATCCAATTAATCCAAATCTTCACCATCAAATTACTCATCATATTCTTATTCTTCATCTTATTAGCTACCTAATTTTTCACTCAAATAAATATATAAATTCCTAATTAAAACAACTGAGCCTGAAAAAATATAACTAGAAATAGAGCATAAAAATAATACAAATAACATTTAATTTAAATTTCTAGTATAAAATATTATAGAATCTCTCAGACCAAATATTGATTTAGTTTTATACGAATAAGATTTAGGATTTCCACCATTCTATCTTATACTTTAAAATATTTCTAATAACAAACAATTATTTAAACTCAAATTAGCATTATCTGTTTATTATTATTTTAATTATTATATTTTTTTTTCTATATCTTGAGGTGTTAATTTTTATGGCGGAGTCTTCTAATAAGGAATAAAAGAACTAATATCTCCATAAATGAAATCATAATTTATTTTTATTATATTTTAAAAACTTTTCTATTAAATAAATCTATTATAAGATTAAATAGTTGTTATAAACCATAAATATTAATTTTTAAATTTTGGTTAATATTTTAAATTATCAGGTTTTATTCCACATTCTTTTTATTTTTAATTTATTTATACAATAGCTTTTTTCATTAGTTATTCCGATTCACTTGTAGTATCTTTAGATATGAAATGAGAACTTCCAAAATATCCTATTGGTTGATCTTAAAATAATTAATCTAATGAAAATTAATTTTTTACTTTTGCTTATGTCTATGTTTATGTCTATGTTTATGGTTGTGTTTATGGTTGTGTTTAATTTTATCCACCGTATTTTTTGTTATTTGTTGTTTTTAATTATTATTATAAAAATGATTCAATAAAACCTAATTTTTTTTGTGCTCCTCCTGAAACTGTATTTGTTGTGGCACTTGGTGCAGCCCCAGTATCAGTAGCGTTAGTTGTAGTGGCAGCGCCAGTAGCAGCAGCGCTAGTAGTAGCAGCGCCAGTAGTAGCAGCGCCAGTAGCAGCAGCGCCATTAGAATTACTACTAGTATCACCTCCTGTGGCAAATTAAATAACTAACTATTCAAACCAAAGAAATGTTTCATTATCATTAAAATAATTCAAAAAGAAACTTCTCATTAAATTATGATAATCATCTATTTTTCCTGCTTATTTTACAACCTCTCCAATATAACAAAGATATTACAAATAATCCTTTATATCATTTTTTAATTGTTATAATCTCGATATTTTAACAGGAAACATTAAACCATATACTGAAACAAAAACTACTTAATTATTGAAAGATTTTACAAAAAAATCAAGTTTGTTTTTAAAACTACTACTAAATAATTTTAAATTATTATTAATAAATTATTAAAATAATTAAATCTCGGCAACATAAAAAGCTTAAAATAGAATTTTAATATTACAAGAATTAAGTTCACATTCAATTATTTCAATTTAATCTTTTGTTTAAAACCATTAAAATGAGTTTTTTTTATCAGAATCGGAAACTTAACCTTTGTTTACAATCTTTTTTGAATTTTCTATACTCTGTTTAAATTTTTTCTCATTAGTTTTATCAGTAAATTCATAATCTAATTAAATATCAATCAAAGCATAATCAGCATATACCATTGCATGTGATAATTCTAATAATTCTTTGAGAAGATAAATTTAACCTGAACTTTAAGCATAAGTACATAATAATTTACTAATTTTATCTAAAAAAAAGAAAATATCTTTATCCCAGATTTATTTATGTGTCATTCCAGTTTTTATTTCTACTTTTCCTTTTTATTATAGTTGACCATCCATTCCTACATAGTTGAATGTTTCTTATTCTTTTTCATTTTTCGGGTCTGCTAAAAAATCTTCAATATTTTTTAATTCTCTTTATATTTTTATCGGACAAGATTCTAAATATCTAATTTTTATTTATTATTTTTTTTAACTTTATAGTTGTGGAACAAATTCTTTATATGTATAAAATTCTATTTGTTTTGTTTCAATTTGAACTTGTTATTTTTCGAGCTTGAAAATTAAAAATTATCTTAAAAATGGATCTGTTAATGAATAAAGTAGAATTTGGTGGTATGCTATTTTTTATTCTAGAATTAAATTTTTTAAAAATGTTTCTTCTAAATATTAATTAGTTTGAAAAAGTGTATGATTGAAAATACTTTATTTCTCTTCTTTTTTATCTTTATTTAATATGGAAAAAGTTTTATCATGGTACAAAATTAGAGAAAAATAAGAAATATTATTATTTTCATCATCTTTATCTTGTTTTCTTGTTGTTAATATAAACATTTATTCCTTTTAAATTTATAAATATAAATCAATAAAATCATCTATTGGATATTTTTTTTACAATCCTATTTATTTAGTATTAATAAAAATATCTATATATAATTGTTATGTATCATCTGTTATCTATTATAAAGAATAAATATTGGAAACAAAAGTAATATCAGAATCTACATGATACAAATTATACATAATTTGTTTATCTTTCAAAAATTCTTACTTATCTGTATTATATTAATTATCCAAATAAAAATATTATTTTTATAATGTCTTATTAACCAGCGGCAATTATAATAGTTATTATTCATTATATTTATTAACTAGTTGCACATATATTTATTTATCTTTACATTCATCGGTAAATGCAGGTTACACACCTAAAGAAGAAACTTAAAAATTTTCTGAAAATGTATGATAATTATTCGCCATTTTTTATACAATTTTATTTTATTTATTTTATATAATTTTATTTTATTTTATTTTTATATATAATTTTTAAAAAAATAAATGAATAATTGACATGATTAAAATTCATAATATTTTATTAATTATAGAAATTTTATTTATTTTATCTTTACTAATAGTTTTTTCATTAAAAGGTTAATGTTAAAGATTCTATTATTATTATTATCTTCTTTGGTTAATTTTTTTATCCGGAATGTTATTATCATAATCAAAAGAAAGAAATTATTGTATAAGTTTGATAAGAATAGAAAATATTGCTAAATAATTTAATAAACTTTTGATAGGTTGAAAAAAAACAATAATATATAAAAATTTAAGAAAAGAATCAGAAAACAGAAATGAAAAATTTAAAATTAGAAATAAAAGGAAATATAGATAAAAATAATTTTTTTTACTTTGAAAATATAGGAAAAAGAGAATACATGGAAGACAGATCAATAATATATAAAGATGATTTTATATAATTTTATGCTATTTTAGATGGCCATGGAGGGAGCGCAGTTGTAGATTTTGTTTAAAATTATCTTTTTGATTTTATAAGATAACATAATTTCAAAAAATTATATCAATAATATTTAAAATAAAAAATTAAAAGATAACAAACTGTAAATGCGATGAAAAATATTTTCAAAGAATTGTAAAAAGAAATATATAAATAAGTGTAATAAAAATTTTAAAATAAAGATAGTTCTGGTACGACATTAATTTATTTTGTTTAATTAGCTGATATATTTTTAATTTAAAATATAGGTGATTCTGCATTATATAGATTTTCAAAAAGTAGAGGATTGATTATGTTAAACAAATAAGATGTCATTGGAGAAAAATAAGAATAAAAAATAATAAAAAATGGAGGCTGGGTATAAGATAATAGAGTATGTGGTAAATTATAAATGGCAAGATCAATTGGAGATTTAGATGTTTAAAAATTTATGGATTATAAATTTACTTCGATTGTAGAAAAAAAGAAAAAAAAATAATAATTGTTCATATTATGTTCTGATGGATTATCTGATATTTTTGAATATGATCAAAATTTAAAAAAAAATTGTTGGAATAAATTGTGTTAAACTTTAAATTAAGAATGTACAGTTAAATATTTGACAAAATTAATTAAAGATTAGATATAGAATTAAATTGATGATAATATATCATTTATTATATTTTTCTGTTGATTCATTTTCCAAAATCTGCTATAGATTATTAACCAGATGTCTATTTAATTTTTTCCAAATGTTATTTATTTTTTTCTAAAAACAATCTTTAAACATCAATTTAAATTTGATTATGATCTTTTCCTAAGATTAAAAAAGTAATTAACTACAATTATTAAGAATAATAATCTTATTTGTCTTTTTTTTCTTTTTTTTCTTTAATTTATTTAACTATATTATCAACAATTTCTTTTTCTTTCAAAATAGTTTATCCCTTTTGCAAAAATTACAAATAACTTGAAAGTTTTTATTCGATTTAATTTTATTCAGTAAAATCTGTTATATCTTAAGCATTTCTATATTATTTATCAAATAAATTCCAATTTTCTTAAATTTAAACAAATTTTGAATCTTCTTATAAACCTATATTTTTATAATTCTCTTCAACATTCTTTTTATAATTGTTAATTTTATATTAATCATTTTAATCAATTTTTTATTATAATTATTCAAAATCATAGTTGTTTTGTTTAAAATCATCATAAATTTTAATAAAAAGATTATCATCAATTTAATCAGTATTTTTTTAGTTATCTTTTTATAATTAACCAAGTTATTATTATAATTATTCTTATGATATGGGAACATTATTAAAATTTATTTTATTTTAAGATTATCTTTATTCTTCTTCTTTTTATATTTCCTTAAGTATTTTTTCTTCTTATTCTTAATCAATTTAGAGTTTTTTAGTATTAATATTACCCTTATTATTTTACAATAAACGTTCTTCTAATTCTTTTCTTTATTTTTCTTACTCTTCATCAAATTTTTATTCTTCTTATTTTTATTATTATATCTCCAGATCTATTTCTTATTTTATTTTGTCATCATATTCTTTTGTTTTTTATTTCAAAAATTGTATTAATTTATTAATAGAATTTTATTAATCATTAAAAAAGTAATTCAAATTTTATTATTGCCCATTAAAATGATTATAAGCTTATGAAACAAGTTTATTATTTTAGTTTTTATTATTATCGTCTTATAATTTTTATCCAATTTAATCTTCTATTATTTAAAAATCTTCATAATTTAGTAAAATTATTTTTTTTATATTATTCTTGATACTTTCAAGTTCTTTTTTCTATTCATTGGTTATTAGATTATTTTTTTCCTCAATTTAAAATAAATTTACAACTTAGTTGATGAGTAGTTACTACTTAAATGTAGAATCGATTATAGAATTTAAATCTTATTAATTTATTTAATCTTTTATTGATTATATTCTTTTTTTAATTTAATTTATTTTATCATCTGATTAATTTTGATCCGGCTCTTAATCATCGATTTATTATCCAAATCTAGATCTGATTCTTTTTTATTTTTAAGATGGATTCTAATTAATTTATGATGGTTATGGTTATTAATTTTTTGTCTCTTATGCGGTAGGCGAATTCTATTTATTTTAACCTTATGATTATTGTTTATTTTCTTCTTCTTCTTTCTCTTCTGGTTTAGATGGACTATTTTTTTATGGTGATTATTAATTTGTTTCTACTTTCACTTATGCGGTAGGTGAATTCTAATTAATTTATGATGGTTATTATTATGCAGCTTATGGCTATTTTACATCATTTTTTTCTTCTTTTTATTAATTATTTTTCTATTCGTTTGAAACTTGCTAAATTGGTTATTAATCATTTTAGTTTGCATCTTTATCTTTATTATTTTAATCTGATTTTTAAATTTTTGTATCTTTTTCTTTTTTTTCATTTTTAACTCCAGATTTAACTCCAGATTTAACTCCAGATTTAACTCCAGATTTATCTTCAGATTTAACTCCAGATTTAACTCCAGATTTATCTTCAGGTTTAACTCCAGATTTAACTCCAGATTTATCTTCAGGTTTAACTCCAGATTTATCTTCAGGTTTAACTCCAGATTTATCTTCAAGTTTATCTTCAGATTTATCTTCAGGTTTAACTCCAGATTTATCTTCAGGTTTAACTCCAGATTTATCTTCAGGTTTAACTCCAGATTTAACTCCAGATTTAACTCCAGATTTAACTCCAGATTTATCTTCAGGTTTAACTCCAGATTTAACTCCAGATTTAACTCCAGATTTACCTTCAGGTTTAACTCCAGATTTATCTTCAGTTTCAGCTTTAGTTTTAACTTTATCTGAAACGTCTGGGACTGTTATGTTGATGTCTTAAAGTGAATTAACTTAACTTTTTTTTTCAGGTTCCATTTTTTAATCTCTCAATATTTTTTTTCTAACAAATTAATTTGAATTAATTAATTAATTATGTGCCATATATAATATCCCTAAAGTTTTTAAATGTTTATTTTTTGTTAAAATATGGTGTAAATTAATTAAATTATCTGATTACATAATATTTAACAAATCAAAATTTTCTTTCATAAAATTTGTATTAATACGCATTAAATATTAGACCATTATATAAATAAGATTTATATATGCCAACTTACATCATCTCAATCACTAAATAATGTAAATTGACATAAATAAAATTAACAGACTAGTGCGGTAGATAAAGCAAGAAATAAAAGAAAAAAACAACTCATAGCTTTAATAATATATAGAAGTAAAGAAGCTTAGAACTTGAGCTGTTAGTCATAAAAGCAGCAATTGACCATACAATCAGATTTCTATTTTAAATTAAATAATATATATCATTAAAAATTATTTAAGTCTTCACAATAATCAAAATATGAATAAATGGCATAATAATTTTAAAGTAGCGAAACCAACATATAATTTATAACATAGATGACTAAATAAATGAAGTTTAGATGTAAAGCTATTTGCAATTTTAGCTGTAAAAAAGAATAAAATTTAAGACTATAAATAGATATTAAAATTCTCACACATACTTTCTAAATCAAAATTAAAAAAAACCCTTTCCTTATAAATAAAATTTAAATATGGTTAAGCATTATCTTATTTTCAAGTATTAAGAGCCAATCAACAAAACACATATGTAATTGCTTAAATAGAAAAAGCAAATAACGTATATTAGATAGAATATCTAACCCTTTTTTTATAAAAACTGATATTTTTTGAAAATTGTGATAAAGAAAAAATTAATTAAGTACTTGAATTAATTAAATTGATAAAAGAAATAATTTAAAAATTTCCTTGAAAAAGTTTAATAACAATAAATAGTTTGATTAAAAGTATATGATTTAATATATTAATAAATTACATCATTTATTAATTATATAATTAATTTAAATTTTATTAAAGAAAATCATATATGATTTAATATATTTATAAATGATATCATTTATTAATTATATAATTAATTTAAATATTATTAAAGAAAATTATATATGATTTAATATATTAATAATTGACATCATTTATTAATTATATAATTAATTTAAATATTATTAAAGAAAATTAATAATTGACATCATTTATTAATTATATAATTCATTTAAATATTGTTAAAGAAAATCATAAATTTACAAGTATTTTTAAGTCAATGTAACAATTAATAAATATTCACTTTATGCTCATTAAATTTTGCTTTTTTGTGATAAAATCTTTCAATGTGTTTTTCCCTATTAATTTCATTCAAAGATTTGGTAAGAAAATTTACTTTTGTTATAAATAATTTTAATTTATATATAAATAAGTATAAAGTAGATATTAAAATGTTGATCTCTTAATAGGATTAATTATTACCAGCTATTTTAATTAAATTCACATTTACTTTTCTTAATTATATTTCACCCAAAATTATTTAAAATATTAACAGCTATTATTATTTTTATTTTTTTAATATTCTTTTAAATAGTTCAAATATTTTACAATCTAATTTATAATTAACATAGTTAGTTACATTTTTCCAGTTATTTTCATATCATATAAAAATTAATTCTTACTTCCACATTAAAATCTTTCAAAAATATTACAATCTATTTATTTCATACATTTTAATAAGATTCTCTATAAATATTATTCTTAGTATTTATTTTCTCAGTAAAAATTATTCTAAAATATTAATTACATGCAATTTTGAATATGAATTTTTATTCAGTATTATTTTCTCATCAAAAACCATTCTAAAATGTTAAGTGCAATTTTGAAAATGAATTTTTATTCAGTATTTATTTTCTCAGTAAAAATATTCTAAATTATTATTATATAAATGTGTTAAAAAAAGCTAGTCTAAAAAAATGTTGCCCCAGACCACACTTTTCCTCTTATATAAGGACATTAATTAATTATAGAATTTTTTTAAATATGACTAACTGCCCATCTCTAATGCCTACTATATTTTTAAGTAAATGTTTTAAATCATAATATTAAGATTTAATAATCAATATTAATTTTATTTTTTTGTGATATCTCTTCATAAAAACAAATTTATAAATTAATATTTAATAATTACTATATTTATTAATTAATTAAATTCAATAAATTGCTACTCAATATTTTTGAAAAAAAAAATAAATAATGTAATAGATTAAATAATACAACAAATTAGAAGAAGTAATTATTTATTTTTTTATTAATATCCTTTAAATTTTTTTTATTAATAAAAAAGTTTTTAAACTCTTCACTTTAATCTCATTAGGTTCTCCATATTGATCTAAAGTATATTTAAATAAAAATATTAAAAAATTTTTTATTTTAACTTTAAATTTATTTAAAAAAATAATTTTTATAATAGAAATTCTCACCATTATTTATTAGTTTCTATTTATACAAAAATTTTCGTTATTTCACTTTAATTTTCATTTCAATTTTGAATTATTTATTATTTCTTTTTTATTATTTGATATTTTTCCTTCATTTTTTGCTATTAACACTTACACTTAATAAAAATAATTTTTTTATTTTGGATTATAATATTTTTAATTATAAAAATTAATTTAAAACATTAAGGCTCTTTTAATTTATTTGATTTCTTTTTCGTTTTCCTTAATTATGCTTGCTTAATGTTTTTTCTTTCTTTATTAGTTTAACTAATTATTAATTAAAATAATCTTATTTTTTCATATTTTTTCCTTCTAATAAACTAATAAATTATATATTTTTTATTCAATAAAAAGATGCTAATTTATTGGTGCAAAATGTGAATCAGACTTAGGTTCTGCTTTAGCAAAGTGCATTAATCTCTCAAATTTGACACTTTATCTTAGGTAAAAACAGTTTATTTATTTTAAATTGTGATATTTTTAATTATAAAACGAATTTAAAATAATAAAGCTCATTTTTATTTTTCTTTTATTATGCTTGCTAGCTTTTATTTGATCTTTCTTTGTTAATTTAGCTCATCATTTTATTTATTTATTTTTAACTTTTGCTTTTATTTTTCATTAATCTTATTATTTCATATTTTTTCTTCATTTTTTCCTTCTAAATAACTAATTAATTATTTATTTATTTTTTTTCAATATTTAAAAAGTCAAAATTAAATTGGTGCAACAGGTGCATCAGGCTTAGGTTCTGCTTTAGCAAAGTGCATTAATCTCTCAAATTTGACACTTTCGCTTGGGTAAAAACAGTTTATTTATTTTAAATTGTGAAATTTTTAATTATAAAACTAATTTAAAATAATAAAGTTCTATTTTCTTTTTCTTTTTATTATGCTTGCTAGCTTTTATTTCTTCTTTCTTTGTTAATTTAGCTCATCATTTTATTTATTTTTAACTTTTGCTTTTATTTTTCATTAATTTTATTATTTCATATTTTTTCTTCATTTTTTCCTTCTAAATAACTAATTAATTATTTATTTATTTTTTCTTCAATATTTAAAAAGTCAAAATTAAATTGGTGCAACAGGTGCATCAGGCTTAGGTTCTGCTTTAGCAAAGTGCATTAATCTCTCAAATTTGACACTTTCGCTTGGGTAAAAACAGTTTATTTATTTTAAATTGTGATATTTTTAATTATAAAACTAATTTAAAACAATAAAGCTCATTTTTCTTTTTCTTTTTATTATGCTTGCTAGCTTATATTTCTTCTTTCTTTGTTAATTTAGCTTATCATTTTATTTATTTTTAACTTTTGCTTTTATTTTTCATTAATCTTATTATTTCATATTTTTTCTTCATTTTTTCCTTCTAAATAACTAATTAATTATTTATTTATTTTTTCTACAATATTTAAAAAGTGTCAATTAAATTGGTGCAACAGGTGCATTAGGCTTAGGTTCTG